CAAATCCCTCGTTTTTCATCCAAGATTTACCCCTCAATCATTTTAATCCAGCCAAAACCTTTATACCTCCTATTGAAGCACTAAACATAAATTTTCATCCATCGCTTTCAAATTTTAACCCGAATCTGTGTCTCTCAGCTCGAAATTGTAGTAACTCTGTAGATTAAAATTTCGTGGAGCTTATACCAACTGGAATTGAAGAAAGCAATAAAAAGTTTCCTAATCTTCCTACTATGAACTGTGCCTCTCTTTAGTATCTATACTTTTTTTTTATAGGGATCCTGTTTGATTTCTTCCCTGTGGTGCTGAGCCGAATCAAACCCTCTGAACGTGTTACTTCCGGTAATTAGAAATTTCAAATTTGTTATATACTGCATATATATGTAGCATGCATAAGCAAATCAACATCTACAAGTTATCCAGCTTCGAGCTATGAGTATGATAGAAATTTTCACGCTTTGTGCACGTGTATTGCACGCGAAAGTCATCCATTGTCTTTATATAATTGCAATATATGAACTTTTATATTTTTAAGCTTAATTAAGAATGTCATGATATATATTTCCACTGTTCTATGACAAAACTTTTCTTTTTCTAATAATCCAACAGTGGAGTTCTCTCTCTCGTACTGCTTTTCTTAGTCAAACCCACGTTAGGATCTCATTTTCAATTTTTAAAAAACTTATTTTGTTAGTCTTTCTCTGGCAGATGAATCATTCCTTCCAAGGATGCCTTAACCTATTGGCTGGAAAAGTAGGGAGCTCAGGCAATGGATATGACATCTCTAAGGAGAAAATGCCTTGTTCATTGAACTCAATGGAGAAATGGATGGATAAATCAACCTTTGCAATCAAGAACCTTCACATGTATAATTACACTTTCACAGCCTCCGAAAAAGGATAAGGAAATTTATTAGCAACCCCATCTCTTGCACAGTTGCACCCCATCAAGAAAAATACGCTTGAAAAACCGAGTTGGCCTAAACTCAATCAAACAGCCAGTGCCTAAGGATGTGTCTTTTAATAATCCTTGCTCAGGAATATAATGCAAATAAAACAAAGAAAAGTTGAGCAGACAACCCTGCATCTAGTTCTTGGAATAAAAATGTGCAAGAGGGTTTTGTGCACAAAATTTAAATAGGCACCGGAATTTGAGATGAAAAACACAATTGACTCAAGCAAAATTTTTGAAAATAGATTCAGAAAATAATCATATCTTATTTCATTTTGGAATGGATACGAAGATTTTTCTTTTTGTGGAAAATTTATTGAATTAGTCTTTCTATATTGGCAGCTGTTAATTTTTTTTGTATTCAATGTTTTAGTTTGAATGTGTTTTTGTTATTAGAGGGTCGTGTCCATATTTTTTGTTAATTGTTTGGGATTATGTAGAGTTCATCGTTTAGAGTGTCTATTTCTAGTAATTAGCGGCTTTATTTTATCTATTGTAGTGTGTAAAACAAGTGAAATCAGAAGAAAATCTAAAATCTTGCATTCAAACATTTAGATTTTTTTTATTTCCATGTGTGCATCTTGGCTGTGCGTTTGTATGCTCAGTTATAGTTTATTCATACACATATAGAATCTTCAACTAACTTCGGAGACATAAGATTCTAGGAGATATTATTATGTAGTCACGAATTTGGACAAATAATTGACAAATATGCAAAACGCACCATTTTTTATGTATTACATTTGTTGTAGAAAGATGGATGAAAATACTAATTGAGATAAAATAATTACTGAAGTGCTAATCTTTCCTTATAAATTCAAGATTTCCTCAATGCGATAGTGACAATGGCAGCAGAAATAAAGCGATCGACCAAGCACAGAGCAGAAAATAGAAACAGTAAATCAACACAAGGTATTATTCGCCACAGGCTGGGGTTCAGCTGGCTACCACCTACTTCCCCGTTGAAGCTCCTCGGAGGTGGATTTAGGCTCCTCGCACTATCTTAAATCAGAAATCAAGGTTTTACATGAGAGTTTGCATTA